TGCACAAGGGAGACAGAAGATGCCGACGGCCCAAAGGAAGTATGTCGTCTGCTCGAAGCGCGGCTGTAAAGGGTGGGCTTGGTGCTCTGCTAATGCTCGCCATTGCATCCAGTGTGGCAACCGTTTCAAGCAGCGTTCGGAATCAGTTTCGCATGCAGATCGCCCAGCAGGGGAAGGTGGAGGAGCTCTGCATGTTCGGCCTGACGTTCACGAGCCACCGCCCAAGCCAGGCCGCTGGAGACATGGCTCCCGCGGGCCTGAGCCCCCCCCTGGTCTGGGCCGCGGAGGAGGTCGCAAGGTCACCTTCGCGGAGGATGACACCCCAGTGAAGATCCAGTGGCCCTGGCCCAAGCGCAGGTCACTTTCTGGAAGAAGTGGAAACCAGACGGAGAGGAGCACAAGTCGGCGCTCGGCAAGCTCAAGTATGCCAAGGCGCAGGCCCTGTCCGCCAAGAGCCTGGATCAGCAAGCGCAGTCGCTGTCAGATCAGTTGCAGGTCGCGCGCCAGAAGCTCATGGCCCAGACGAAAGAAGCGACGGAGCTTGTTCACACCATCGTCGAGGCGAGTGAACACCAAGGCAAACTGGTCGCGGAGATCGAGACCAACACCAAAGAAGTGCAGTCATTGGAGTCTCAGCTCAACCTGGCCACCCAGGCGGCAGCGAACGAGGCATCCAAAGATGAGGATTTACTCACCACTCTCCAAGGCATGCTGGCAGCGCGCATGCCTGAGGGTGGGGAGGTCCCCACCAGAACTACGAGCTAAAGTATCGGAGCTGGCGCAGCTGTTTGACAACATGCAGCACCAGCACACCATGTTTGTGGAGTCCCCGGCGAAGGATGCTAGCAAGGGCAAGGGGTCCCAGCCAGCACATGAGCCTGACGGCTTCCCCGCAGTTGGTGAACGTGCAGATGAGCCAGAAGAGCCCAAGCCCATTCCAGGTCAGCATGTCCCGACGCCGGTGGACGAGAAGGAGCTGGAGGAGGCCCCGCCCGCCGACGCCGTCGGCCCCGATGGACGAGTCGCAGGGCCGCGTGCGTGCTGCTGCGGCTCTGGAGCAGGTCGCCAACGGCATGGCCAAGATCCAGGGCGACGGCGGCCCCGAGGCCAAGAAGGCTAAGGCGGCTGCAGCGGCCGCCGCGGCCGCGAGTGACGGCCCGTCGCCAGGGTAACCAGAAGTATAAGCTAGCCACCATCAACGGATCGTGCTGGCCTGCCGCTCGCAAGTTTTTGCAATCTCCGCAGGTCAGCGCAGTCACCATCGTTTGTGCCCAGGAGTGTAATTTAGCCGAAGGCGATAGCATTGTACGTCAGATACAATGGTGCGCGTCTCAAGGGTGGCTGGCCTACATAACTCCTGCTGCTGTGAACCCCAACAATGAGCTGGTTTCGGGAGTCGCGATTTTGATTCGGGACGGTTTGGACCTTGGGGTCCAGCCTCTGCTGATTCCCTCGGGGTGTGAGCCCGCTCGTTTGTCTGGGGTGATCCTTGAGCTCCCAGGGATCCCAAAATTCGCTTTGTGTCCTCCTCCTCCTCCTCCGCCCACCTCCTCCGCCCACCTCCCCTCCTCCTCCTCCTCCTCCTCCTCCGCCTTCTCCTCCGCCTCCTCCTTCTCCTCCTCCTCATCCTCCTTCCTCTCCTCCTCCGCCCCCCCTCCTTCTCCCTTTCCTCCTCCTCCTCCTCCTCCTCGTTCTCCTCCTCCTCCTCCTCCTCCTCCTCCGGGCGGGCGAGTCCCGACGCGGCGCGGCGACGGGCCGTGCGGCGACCTCGAAGTCCCCCCATGGGTTTGTCACCGGCGGTGACGGACCGTGCGGTATGAGGTCTTGGGGGACGGTCCGTGGCGAACTATCCTTCGGGGGAAAACAAACCTACCTCGCTTTTGACCACCCTCGCTTCCAAGAGATACCAAACAATGCCAAATTGCGGCCTGTACTGGTCAGGACGCTTGACGAGGAGGCGCGTGGTATGGCTTGGTTTTGCCTGGAAGCGAAAACGGGGTAGGTAATTCACGCTCTGAATCCTGGAAAGACCGTGCGGTCCGTCACCGCACGGTCTTTTTCCGGGATCTAGCTCGCAGAGAGGAGAGGAGCCGGAGCCAGAGGGTGCCGGAGCCGGGCAAGGTTTCAGAGTAGAAGGAGCCGGAGCCGCAGGGCAGCCCCGGGCAGGACTCCCCCGCGCGACATGCTTGAGCCGGAAACGGGTCCCGAGGGACCACTTCTGAGCGTTTTCCGATACGCGTGCCCGGAAGCTCTTCAGAAGATCCTTCGGAAGCTTCTCCAGGTCCTTCCAGAGCGCTCCGCCAGGCCTTTCCACACCCTCTGGGTGCCCTGCTCTCCCGGTCTTGGACTACACCAAGTGGGGCCTCGGAGGCCCCAGTGGCCCGAGAGGTCATCGGAGAGCGCCCCGAGTCCCAAAACCGTGCGGTGACCCCGGATCCCCACCGTCTCGCCACACGGTGTGGTCACCACCCCGTTTGGAGGCCCCCGAGCCTGGGCTCGT